ATATATACACAGAGAGACAGACGGAGGCAGCTAGACAGACTGATACAGACAGAAATGTCGACCAGATTATCTACCCCGTGAGTTCACAGTGGCTTTCATAACAGTTGTTTATATTGCCCCAGATGCTAATGCTAACGACGCTCTGCAGGAACTTCATGATCTCTTCAGCTCGCTGCAAAACAAACACCCTGAGGCTATTTACATAGTAGCCGGAGACTTTAATCACGTGAATCTAAAGGACTGCCTCCCAAGATTTTATCAGCATGTGGCCATACCAACACGTGGAAACAACACGCTGGACCGTGTTTACACAAACGTAAAAGATGCATACAAAGCCGAACCCGGCCCCCACTTAGGATTCTCTGATCACATCTCGATCTTCCTGGCTCCTGCTTACCTGCCCTCGCTGAGACGCTCCAGACCGGTACAAAAGAAAATTAAACAGTGACCCCATACTGAAAGATTGTTTTGAACAAACAGACTGGGAGTTCTTCAGAGAAGCTGCTTAAAATGTGTGTGTGTGGGGGGCTAGCCCTGGAACAATACACATCCTCAGTTATGGAGTTAATTAGTAAATGTACTGATAACGTCACCACCATAAGATATGTTAAAAGTTACCCAAACAGAAAACCGTGGCTGAATGCAGCGGTTCGCACTTGCTGGACGCCAGGAACACTGCCTTCAGGTCTGGAGTCTGGAAACTCACAGGAGCTGAGAAGGACAAGGAAAGAGCTGGTTGCTGGTATTAAGAAGGTCAAGGCCACATATGCACAAAAGATTGAGGGTCAGTTCATCTCACAAGACCCTCGGAGCATGTGGAGGGCCATTAAGTGCATAACAGATGATAAAGGAAGGAGCGAACAATGCCCCAAAGACCCATCTCTGTCTGATGCCCTCAACAAGTTCTATGCATGCTTTGAAGACCTGAACAGACCACCCAGCACCAGACTCACCTCACCACCGGATGAAGAGCTTCTCAGCGTGACCTCAGCTGAAGTATGGAGGACCTTCAAGAGGATTAATCCGCACAAAGCAACCAGCCCAAACATCATACTCGGGAAGGTGCTGAATGTCTGTGCTGATCAGCTCTGCGAGGTGCTGGCTGACATCTTTAACTCCTCCCTCACCCTGGCAACAGTTCCCACCTGCCTGAAGACCACCACCATCATCCCAGTTCCAAAGAGCTCTACAGTGACTGGTCTGAATGACTATCGGCCAGTGGCCCTCACCCCGATAGTCGCTAAATGCTTCAAAAAACTGGTCATGACTCACATCAGAACTAACATCAACATCAACGAGGACCCTCATCAGTATGCATACCGTGAGAACCGATCAACAGAGGACACCATCTCCTCTGTGGTCCACACTGCTCTCACCCACCTGGAGCAGAAGGACTCTTACGTCCGTATGCTCTTTGTGGAATTCACATCTACCTTCAACACCATGATCCCCCAAACTCTGATGGACAAACTATCCACACCAGGACTAAGTTCCTCCATTTGTAACTGGGTCCTGGACTTCTTAACAAACAGACCACAGTTAGTGAGGATCCACAACTTCTCCTCCTCCACCATAACCCTCAGCACTGGCTCTCCTCAGGGATGTGTGTTGAGCCCTCTCCTGCTCACTCTGCTCAAGTACGATTGTGCAGCTACCCATCCAGGCTGTCACATTGTAAAGTTTGCAGATGATACAGTGGTGGTGGGATGCATCACAAACAATGATGAGTCCAGCTACAGGCAGGAGGTGGAACACCTGGAGAGCTGGTGCAGGAAGAACAACCTTCACATCAATGTGAAGAAGACGAAGGAGATGACTGTGGACTTCAGAAGGAACAATCACACCTACACCCCACAAACATAAGAGGATCTGCAGTGCAAGTGGTCTCCAGCTACAAGTATTTGGGTGTGCACCTGAACAACAACCTCAGCTG